AAAAAAGCAGTTTTTTTAAAACTACTGAAAGTCTGTTAAAAGAACAAGTATGTAACATAATATCTATTTTTGATAATGACTGTGAAAAGAAAAAAAAAAGAAAATTATTTAAATGTAACTAATGATAAAATTCTTGTATGAAATAAATAGTAGCAGCTATGAAGTTTATTACTCTTGCGTTGTAATATCTATTACATTATATAAATTATATCATACACTAAATTGCATACTGCCGGTATATAGTACAACTTGCCGACTCGCGTAAAGAGACACGGTCGGTCTCGTGCGTACTCTTTAGCGCCGAGCCATGACCATGTCTCTTGATATCGATGTGCGCAGATTATTTTAAAATTAATTTTGTATGATAAGAATTTAATAAAAAGATATTGTTTTAATATTAGTATACCGATTTAATTAGATATAAACTCTTAAATTTAAATATATTATTATTAAATTTGGTTTTTGTGAATTAAATCGTAGAATTATTTCTTCTAAGATTACATTAAATGCGCGCGATTCGGTTAAAATAATCTTTAACAAATAAACACTTGTTGTACAATTAGTGTTCATTAGCAAACCGCTTCTCCCAATTTAAATTTTGACATTTTAGAGAACTGGACTTCGATGAGTACGGAAAAAAGGAAACCTCTTTGTCACTGAGAGACATTCTGCCATTGAATTCAAAACAATATGATAAGCACAGAGCACCAAAATTCCTCGGCCAACCCACTGTCGTTTATTTTCATGTGACAGTGCTTAGCCTAGACTCGATAAATGAGGAATCGATGGTGAGCGATAAACCGACATAATCAATACATGCCGGAAAATTTATTTTCTTGAATTTTCTCTCAGATTATTACAGGCACATCTATATTAAAGTTTACATTAGGTTTTTTTCTTTTTATATTATATTATTTATTATATTATGTATTATTTTTTACTTATATTACATTTTACTTATATATTATTTATTACTTTTATTATTAGTTATGTATTATTCATACTTATTCTTCTTGTTTTATATTATTACATATATAATACTATATTACTAATTATAATTCAGAATAATGTACATATAATATGTCATGTATTATATAATTACATAAAATTGCTTTACTTATTGAAAAGATAATCAAACTATTTTTTAGTTTCTTTTTATATATAAATTTTTTTACTGTATTATAATTAATACACAAATTAAATGAAATGATCACTCTAATTACTTCTTTTTCCTAAAATTTTCCGAAATTTATGTAGATGATTACGAAGATGTAATCCGTAAAGCACGTGTTAGACGATATTTTATTTTCATATAAGAGAAAAAATTTTGTCATCTTCATATGATTGCATATGAAGTGCAGCATCTGTTCACATTATTTTTCTACGACAGACGTACGTGGCCGACATATTTCTCGCTCAGAGTTGGCGGGACTCTAGGCTACGGCTACCAGAAAACATGTCCGAGGATTACCGAATACTTGATGTGGATTGGTTGCACAATATCTGGAGACCCGACTGTTTCTTCAAGAATGCGAAGAAAGTTACCTTCCACGAAATGTCAATACCAAATCATTATCTTTGGTTGTATCACGATAAAACGCTGCTTTACATGTCCAAGTAAGTCTATAAATCTTAGTTACTATTAGTAATTATTTATTCCATTTATTTTATTATACAGTTCAACAAAAAAAAACACTATAAGACATTTCCCGTAGTTTTTTGGACGCTGAATCCGAATCCGATGTAGAATTGCTCCACACTGTGTATGTGTGTATGTGTTCACAGATAGGTTACTTTTATGTAAACTTTAGATTGAAAATGTGGACTCTGCAAAATAAACAAAATTAGAAGCTGTTTGGTAAATTGTGAATGATTTTATTTATAGCTTTTCCGCAATAGATCCCATGTTTAATAATAAATAATTTGTTAACTGTGACAAACACAAAAAATTCCTTTTGAGAATTGAAAGTTCTAACAACATATAAAATTTTTATTGCAAGAAAACTTCTATAGCACAAGGCATTTCGAAGCTATAATATGACAAAGTTCGTGAAAATATTGAAAATAATATTTTCTTTCAACTTTACCTGCAAATTTTTTAAAATTCTGACGTGATAAAGCAATTCTACAACCAGATTCATCACCCACAAAAACTACGGGAAATGATTAGTCTTGTTATGATGTTCGAAAAGATCATTACTTTTTGTTGAACAGTGTCATTATAGCATTTATTATTTATATTATGATTATTATTATTCTATTGTATAAATGTGGCTGTTTGAATCTTTCTTATAAAAAATTTATTGAAAATTTGTTTACGTATTATTAAAAGTTAATAATAA